GTTTCATCCTTGACTGTGTCACCTTCCTCATCCTGGCATCGGAGTGTTGCTTCTACCTTCTAATTCCTTAAACTCATCATTTCTCTCCAGTTTCACTGCTACTCTGTGGCTATAATCATTTGTCATCTTTCCTAGTATTACTATGACTTTTTTTTGCCCTCATTTCTGCCTTACTTGGTCTACTCCACAGAAAAAGAAATATAGATCTACAATCCTAACACTAAGGAAGCAATATTGATCAATAATTAAATAATTGGTGAACAAGGAATGGCAACATATACCAAAGTTTCAACAGGTTTTAGAGGCTGTGGGTTTAGTAAAAGTTTATGAAGCTTATTCAGGGCCTTGAAAGATGTGCAGTTCTTTGGATTTTAAAGAAAAGGGGTGAGGAGAGTTCAGATGAGAAAAGACAAAGTAACAAAATGACAAACTATATGATTTTTGTTTAGTTTTGTGGAAGGGGCAGGAATGGTGGTAATGGCTCTCAGATCGAAGTGCTGAGGCTGGGTATAGCTGGACACTAAGGTCATAGTCTTGGTCTGCAATGCCAGTGAAGACCTTGCAGGCTTAAAATCTGCCACAGGGCAGCTGTGTTCTGGTTCTAGGGATCAAGGAAAGGAGAAACACCTCCCTTGGAAATCTCACTACCTCAAGAGGTACCCTTCAGATATCTCAAGTCCTTTGTGCTCCGTGGAAGGAGGCCCTTGATTGATGAGGCAAGGCTTTTATGCAAGGAACTAAACCACATCTGGGCATAAAATAAGAAGAGTCCCTGTGGGTAGGGGTAAAGGTCTCAAGGACATTCAAGGAGATTTCCAGCCTATTTTGTGTGTACCTTACCTCTCTACCAAAGGTGTCCTGAAATGAAGGTCCAATTTCCTACATATTAAAAGTGAAATTGTGGCCTAACTGCCTCTTATGTTCCACTTTGTCCTAAACTCTTTAGATGGTGGTGATTTTCTTCTCTCCAGGAGCTTTGTGGTTCCCTGAAGTTTGTGTGTTAATATCTTCTATTACCTTCTAAAGTTGCAACCTACACTGAAATTTCCAGGCCTGTGGGTAAAAGAGAACACAAAAAGATGTTTCTGCACCCTCCCCTTCCCCCAGCCTCAGGCCAAACTTTTTTTAACCTTTGTTCATATTCTTGAATGGAGTTAAAGTCAGGGTGTATGGAGAATGTGATCCCAGTTCTTGGTCTTCATAGAGGCTGGTACATGACATCAAAACCACTATGGATTTGAAATTAGGTAGACTAACCAAGTGAGAAACCTTATGAAATTGAAAATCACAATAAACTGTAATGAAGTTTTCTTATAAAGCAAACAGAAGCTGTATGATGTTTAAATGACGCTAGTACTCATTAGAGACTCCTACTTTAGGAGGCTGTTCTCAGACTGTTATGACCTAGTAAAGTTCAATGTGGAGCTCTGAAGATGGAGAGAATGACATGAGAACCTGTTCTGGTAGTTTGTGCCCCTACCTGGGTGAGAGAAAGCCTATTAGGAGGCATTTATTGAGAACACTGTCAGAAACTAGTGGTATGTTGATAAATACTTCACAGTTTTCAAGAAAACAAAAACCACACACACACACACACGCATACTCAAAGCAAAAACAAAAATACCCTGATTTTTAGTGTTTGCCCATTTCTGTGAAATTATTCCTGCCGTACTTCAAACTATCAATGTGACTGAACATGGAACTGGGAAGAAATACTCAATTGTGTGCCTCTGTGCATTTTCCATCACACAGATACAAGAGATGTGAACAACCTCATGAATAATGATAGTAAAATATTAGATGTAGGTATTTATTAACTTTGTTTTTTCTATGTAAGTTATTTAATTGTAAGTTTATTTAGTTTTTAATAATCATAAAGTTTAAACAACCAGCTCACAAAATGCCTGAAAATTTAGCAGTTAGCTCTTGTAAGCCAGTATGATCACAAATCCAGCAAATGCAGCCCACCCCCGCAAAAAAAATGAAATGGTTGGTATTCACATTGAGGAAAAAAAAAGAAATTTTGCTGATGACTAGGAAAAATGTTCTTTAAAGAATAAAGAATTATAGAAATTGGTAAGTTTGCTTATACAACATACCAATACATTTCTTCCTAGTAAGATCTAAAAAATGGAAGTGAGAGCGTATGCCATTCACAACAGAAACAAGCATATAAAATAATTAGGAATAGAACTAAGAACAGTACATGGCTTATATGGAGACATCAATAAAAATGTAAGACTATAGAAAAAGATCCAGTATACAAGAAATGATTATTAACAAAGATGGTATATTTCAATTAAGTGGAAGAAATAAATGGAATATTTAAAAAATGGTATTACAACAACTGGCTATCCATCTGGGAGAATGTAAACTTGGACTCTATCTTGAACTACATAAAATAAATTCTAGATGGATTAGAGACCAAATTTCTTTGTTTAAGCAGCAAAATTTTTAGAAAAACCTAGGAAGCTGAATAAATAATAGAGGGGTAGAATTTAGTTTCTTAACATTAAGAGTAGAAATTTGGAAGCTAAAAAAGAAAAGATACATTTGTAATTAAAACATATAATATTTAAAATTTTATGCATTGTATATAATACATATAAATGGAAAATACACCATAAAGAAAATATAGGGGAAGAATGCCAAAATTAGAAAACTATCTGCAATACAGGTGATGAGTATAAACTTCATTTTTCTATTATAAAACAAAACAAAAGCCACAATGGAACAAGAAAAAGACAAACTGCCCAATGAAAATATGAGCAAAGAGATAAATGGGAATTCTCTAAGGGTAAACTATAGGGGTCAAGGAGCAGGCTGCCCCAAGATGTGCCATTATGACATGCAGATTTTCTCAGAGTTGAGAATAATCACAACCCAAAAGACTGAAACTTTGACCTCCCTCTCTTCCAATGCATAAAAATAATTTAGAAGGCATGCTCAAGGAGGAGAGCTATCACCATAGATAGCTATATTATAATGTACACTAGGCATGATAGACAAGGATGTGGCTACATCTGTTAAAATTCGTCTGTGCCCTGTTGATTTTTGTGTAGCCCATCATAATTTTTTTAACCAAACATTTACTCCTTTAACATTCCTGTGAACTGCTTCACTTTCCCTTTGAACTCTCTGATCCCTAACCACTTCTCCTTGGTTCAGGGTGACCTATATATATATCTCATTGTTCCTGACTGTCTTTGCAATCCACGTGTATGGCTTCCCGGTTTGTAGGGAATTAAACTTTGGGGTTTTTTTTTTTCCTCTTCTGTCTCATGTCAATTTCATTGTAGACCAGCTTGAAGAACCTGGAGGGGTGGAGGAAATTTCCTCCCCAACATACTCAAATGGCCAAAGAAAGGATGCACCAGTGGCTGTGGTAATGCAAATCAGAGGCAATGTGAAATAACTTTACACCCTTTAGACGGACATAAGTAAGGCCCCTCTTTAATGGTTGGAATTGAGAGAGGGGAGCTATTTTCAGGACCTGTCAGCTCCAGCTGAAATTTAAAATACACTGTAATCAAGCAATTTCAGGGTTCGAACTCCTTAGCATCATGGTCAGCAGCAGTAAATGGAAACATCAATGCTTATGAGAAAATGGTGCAAATTATGCAACTCCACGAGAAGGCAATAGAAAAGAGGATTTGATGTGAAAGGATATTTGAAAGACTTTCTAAAAGAGAAAAAGCAAGATGCAGATAATCATATACGTATAATTTCACCGTTTTGCAAATACCCCTAACTGAAAACCATGTGTGTATGGATGGGTGTAGGTAAAAAGCTGAATTCAAAGGAAAACATTACTACATACCAGTTTGACGGAGGGAGAGCAGGGATGTCAAGTGTCTGTACGGAGGACTTTAAGGGATGGAGGGAGCCAAGCAAAACAATGGAGAAAAAAGGTCACTTTAAAAAATATGCGCATACGTAAAAATAAATTTTACTGAGTTGGGTATACGTCAGTAAACATAGCTCCTCAGATGTAAAAACATTAAAATTTCAACCCCAAAAGTAAATTTCAAAAGCGTTAGGAGGCAATTTTGCGCAGTCAACTAATGTGTTGTAGCACCACCACCAGGATTGAAACCTTGCACGCGGTTAAGTATGGTCTACCTGGGCACAGGGGATTTTCAAATGTCCAATCAGGCCCGTTCTATTACTATAGGGAAACCGGGTAAGGGCTTTTGATTTAGCTGTAAAACTCCATTGCAGCCAAGCTCTTCTGTCCTGACCATGACCGGAAACTAGTTTACAGCCTGCAAACCGACACAGAATAAGGCACTGCGCCGGCAAGAGTAACCCACACCATCCGAGCTCTGCTGGGATGGTGCTGCCAGAGGCTTGCAAGGCTTCGTGGGGCTCTCGACAACGCCATTTATACAGGTGCATCACCGTCATTCCCAAGGACGGACAGCTGGCTCACATCGGAGGGCGTGGTGGAGCCAAGGGTTTTATTGATTACATTACCCCAAAAGCATTTCTGAAAGTAGTGATTTCAAAGATGGCCGCTTTAGCAGTACTGCCCCGAGTACCCAACGTCCCTGCTTGGATGAGGCCACCAGGGAAATCGAGTGAGCGCGTCGTCCACACACCAGCACTAGCAGAGATAAACCGAAGCTGGACAATTGCCAATTTTGGTTGTTTTGGGGTATGGGATGTCAAGGTAGTTATGAGAAATTCTAGATGTTTCTTGTACAAGGGTCCTTAAGATAGGCAGAACAAAGGACGAGGTAGCTCCTTGACCTTGCTGCACTTTTAAGCTGCGGACGGAACTGAAGGGTCCCCACCAGTAAGATGGCAAACTTCCGGCGTCTTTTCGGGGTCCTCGGTTCCCGCCGGCGCCACTTGAAGCCCAATCACCTCTCGCCCCCCTCCCAATCCCAGCACCTAGCCAACAGCCACCAGCCCCGTAGAAGTAACACCACAATCACCCTATGCCCCTTCCTATATAACCCAGCACCTTTCCCTAATAAAGTGGAACTCTCCGGTGAATTGCTGTTGTGTGTCGCTCCTTTCCTTTCAGGAACAGTTAAGTAATTTAGTATGATCCTCATGTTCAGCAGATTGGGCTGAGAGCACACTATTACAATTGTTGAGGGCTGAAACTAACAATGGCACAGAGACTTGCGTGCTAGAGCTCTTCCCTTAAAATACGTTGGTGGCTCTTAAGAGCCGTTGGGTTACTGGAGAAAGTTTCCAACCGGACGGACCTCTTACTTCTTCTTGGGCACCACCTTCCTGCGCTTGGCCGTCTTGGGCTTCGTCACCTTTGTCTTGGTCGCTTTGGGCTTCACAGCCTTTGTTTCGGGAGGGCTCTTTACTACTTTCTTAGGCTTCACAACCTTGGGCTTCTTTGCCACGGATGGCCTTTTGGCAGTTATCAAAGACTTGACACTTTTCTTAGAAGCAGCCACAGAGGCTTTTTTAGCGATTACCTTGCGTTTTGACTCCACTTCTGTGGTATTGGGTTTAGTTTCAATGGGGGTTACTTATCTTATTGGCTTTGAAAGAGCTCGAGGCGCCGGTGCCCTTGGTCTGCACCAGGGTACCCTTGCTCACAAGGCTCTTGAGGCCCAGCTTCATGCGGCTGTTCTTCTCCACGTCGTAGACAGCGGCCGCCAGCGCCTTCTTGAGCGCAGCCAGCGACACCCCGCTGCGTTCCTTGGAGAAGGAGACGGCTTGCACGATCATCTCAGACACCGGAGGGCCCGCGGGCCTTTTCTTGGCAGCTACGGGAACCTTCGCAGGCTTCTTCATCTTTTTTGCAGCCGAAGGTTTCTCAGGGGGAGGGGAAGCTGCGAGAACCGGCGGCGCGGTCTCAGACATTGTGAGCAATACAATTAGGTAAACTGCAAGGACTTAACACAGGAAAACTTAGAGCGCCCGGCGCCGCATATTTATAGGGCTTGGCCGCGCTGTGATTGGTGCCTGCTGGCGCCCTCCCCTCGCACCCAAGCGCCCCCTGCGCCGCTGCCCGTGCCGGGTCTCAAAAGGTAGTTGTAGCTGAGCGCTGGAAGGTCCCACTTTCTTGCCGCGAGCGCTAAGGCACCCACCCAGGTAGCAACCCCCGTCGACTCGTGGAGGCAGAAATACTAGGGAAGGGTCTGGCTTTGCTGTCCATTAATATCAATACTATTTCCTTTTTAAAAAACAGGTCTTTTTTTGTCGGGGGCGAGAGAGCAGTTCAAATGAGGCAATCACACAACCCAAGGATTTTCACCTGAAACTTCACCGTGACCGGAAACTAGTTTACAGCCCGCAAACCGACACAGAATAAGGCGCTGCGCCAGCAAGAGCAACCCGCATCGTCCGAGCTCTTAGGATGGCGCTGCCAGAGGCTTGCGAGGCCTACCTTGTGGGGCTCTCGAGGACACCATTTATACGGGTACGTCACCGTCATTCCAGGGAAAAGCATTGTTAGGACACTTGTTTCTTATCAGCAATAAATGTAAAAGGTTGTGTATTAAATGCTTTGGGGTTTAGAGATGGAAAAGCGAGGGAGTGTAGGCTTTGTCTACAGGTTTGGGACGAGTTCTCATTCATGCCATTGCCTTTCCCAGCAACGCTGGAGATATGCCTGGTGAAGACCTTTTTTGTATTTTGGTTAAAAAATCGTAAAAAGCACTAATAGCGTAAAACTCGCTAATACCGCAATTAACACTCAGCTGCATCTGTGGGAAACTATGAAAGCAATTTCTGCATTTGCAATTTATTTCTACAGCTCAGTGCACCTCACGAAGTTTGGGTGCCTTCATCCTTACAACATACCCCATACAAGCGCCGTTTTTACTCTGTTCGCTGTCAGCGGCTGTATAGAGCATTTAAAAGAAACTGCAACCGCTACGATTGCACTTTGTAAATCAGACAATAAAACGTCCCTCTCAATTCTCTGCGCAGTCGCCTAGCAACAAGGAGAGGCAGTGACGTTTTGTTCCCGCGCAAGCGCACCGGCAGTTTTCAAACAAGTCCGCACCGGCTGAGTTGAGCTGAGCTTCCTGGGTTCCCTTCAAGACTCCAGGAACTTGTTTCCAATTTGTGGCCAGTGATGTAATGGTGTCGGGCGCACGTTTCGCCCATCTTCTCCACATTTTTCTACTCCCTAGTGTCTTGGGAGTCTTTATTTCTTGTAATGCAACACGTAGTTTCTAAGAATTTGGAAAATAATTGCAACTATGTGTCTTAGTTTAAAGGATAGTCAATTATGGTACACAGGTAAACAAATCTCCCTCCAAGACTAACATTTCCTAAGTGAAAGCATTTTGAAAGACAAACTTTTTTTAAACAACCTTCCAGTCAAAAGCATCTTTTAAAGTTGCATTAACTGAGCTTTAAAGAAGATAGGAACACCACCGAAATGAAGGGTGCTGAACCTGTTTTCTTAATGGCTGCTCAGTATAATGAAAAACCTATCATAAGGTAGAATCTGGGCTACCTCCTCTATACTAGAAAAGGGTCAACTTCGTAGGCTCTTGAAATGTTAAGAACGGGAATATGAGGTCTTGGCAATGGGAAATGACCCCCTTTTCTCTCCGGAACCCAGTTTTAGGGTTAAGTCCACACTTAACTCCACAAGGAGAACTTCTGGGAGCCATTGGGACTGGTGCGCTTTTGTACCTAGGGGTGGGTCTGGAGAATTTTGAATTACCGCCATTTTGCATCTGGCAAAATGTACTCGAGGCATTAAAACGTTAAGTTTCAGAAAGCTCCAAGTGTAGACAACAGCATAATGCTTAACAAAAAGCCTAATTACAGGAAATATTTCTGCAAACTAATGTAATTTTGCTGTGCCTAAGATTGTCTTCTAGGCGTCAAAGGAGTTCCTCAGTTAACTTGAGCAGGATCTCGTTTTTCTAAGGTTTCGGAAATTTGTAATCCAATACCAGATTATCGAGGAATGTAAAAAGCACATTTTTGGAAGAAATATTCCCTCAATTTTCCCTCTCAAGAACTAAGATATACAGAATTGGGGAACTACAGTATCAATAAAGTCAATGTCTACTTTTACGAAAAGGTACGGTAATGCTTAAAACATTGTATTTACATAAAAATCAAGTTCAAGAAAGACCAAAGTAAAAATATTGAAGAGCCGAGGATAGAACGTAATAGCCAATGAAACTGCAAGATTGTTGAATAGTTTTAAATATAGACCAATCAGAGCCTAGGGCATGACATAAACATTTTTCTCATCCAATCATTACACTTTACCTACGGTAAATAAGCCGTGCTAGCCGGCGATAAGGTTGTGTTTGGAATGTCTGCAGGGATTGGTTCTGATGGCTCGTACTAAACAGACAGCTCGCAAGTCCACCGGCGGCAAGGCCCCGCGCAAGCAGCTGGCCACAAAGGCGGCCCGCAAGAGCGCGCCAGCTACGGGCGGCGTGAAAAAGCCCCACCGCTACCGGCCCGGCACGGTGGCGCTGCGCGAGATCCGCCGCTACCAGAAGTCCACCGAACTGCTAATCCGGAAGCTGCCGTTCCAGCGCTTGGTGCGCGAAATCGCGCAGGACTTCAAGACCGATTTACGCTTTCAGAGCTCGGCCGTGATGGCGCTACAAGAGGCCTGCGAGGCCTACCTAGTGGGGCTCTTCGAGGACACCAACCTGTGTGCCATCCACGCCAAACGTGTCACCATCATGCCGAAGGATATTCAGTTGGCGCGCCGCATCCGAGGAGAGCGGGCATAATTAACACTGCCAAAGATCAGTAACAAACCAAAGGCTCTTTTAAGGGCCACCCACATTTTCCCATGAAACAGCTGTAAAGTACTACCAATTTAGTCATTTAATAGTCGTTTGGAATCGAAGGCCTGTTTGTAGACAACATTGAAGGGTTATGGATGATTGCCTTTATCTTAACCTCAGGGCACACGCAAACTGACCCTTTACAAATGTTTAGTACTTTAAAAGTTCTGATAATCTGTACAGGGACTGGACATTTAAAGAGCGCTAAATTATAGGCTGTTGAGCAGTTGTAGAAAACAAGGTTCCTATGGCCAGAATTCTCAGCTACTTCAGGTCGGCTTGCCTTTTACACACGTGTGGGCAATATACTACTGACTTTTTATAAAGACCTCCGCGCACTGCTCTGGGCTGCTGGAGAGCAGAGATTGAAGTGGTGGTTCGACGATATACTGAGAAGGCCTCGGGGCAGAGAGGCCCAGAGGCAGAGACAGGTTTTGCTACATGCACTTAGGCTCTGAGTTACCGGGATTCTTGTGCTTGACCTGCCACTGTGGGAATAAAGTTGGGTAAAAACCCTTTCACCCCAAGAACGTTCCACTGTCATTTTTTCGGTTTCACTGAATCCATAGTGAATTTATCCGGGGCTGAAACCCATTGACTGGCAACACAAACATGAACAGGAATATAAAGAGCATTATCAAAACATGATTAGATATCATTAAAAGAAACCTGGCTTGTCACTCAACTGCTCAATTTACATTTCTTTGATCTTGGACATTTTTTCGATTACCAAAATTTATTGTGAAACGATCTTTTTGCTTCGTTATTCTTTCCATTTACAATGAATTACAGCATAGGTCATAGCAACATAACCCGGTTTACGAATCAAAGTCCAACCATCAAACTGGGTCTCTTCTCCCTCCCCGTCTACCCCCCCCCGCCTCCTTTGTGTTCCTGCGGATTGGAAGGATTAAAGGAGGAAACTGTTTGCGTCACATCTCCCGCCTCCTCAGCAATCCATTCTCTAAATCTGCAGGGGGGTGGTGAGGACAGGGGAAGACATGGCTATATAAGGATCAGCTCTCCTGTTTTTCCTGGTATCTGCTGTTGGGTCGCTTTCAAGTTCAGCCATGTCCGGACGTGGCAAGGGTGGGAAGGGTCTGGGCAAAGGCGGCGCGAAACGCCATCGCAAGGTGCTGCGGGACAACATCCAAGGCATCACCAAGCCTGCCATCCGCCGCCTTGCCCGGCGCGGCGGGGTCAAACGCATCTCCGGCCTCATTTACGAGGAGACCCGCGGGGTGCTGAAGGTGTTCCTGGAGAACGTGATCCGGGACGCCGTCACCTACACCGAGCACGCCAAGCGCAAGACGGTCACGGCTATGGACGTGGTCTACGCGCTCAAGCGCCAGGGCCGCACCCTCTATGGCTTCGGCGGCTAATGTTTCTGTTTTCATTGCCAGGACCTTGTATTTGCCAACCAAAGGCCCTTTTAAGGGCCATCCAACTACTCAAAAGAAGAGTTGTACTATTCATTACCTAACACTTGATTCTGCACCTAAAGCTGTAGTTCAAGTCAACAGTAATACTGATACATCTAGAGTTCGAATTGAGAGTTAAACGGCAAGATTCATCCGTGCAATCACATAAACTGCCTTATTTTAGCTGTATAACCTACACTCACCACATTTACCGGGTGAGGGAGTGAATGCTACTCCAAATCGTTAAAAGTGTAAAAGAACCTGTATGGTAAGCCCCCTTTCTTCCAGGTCCAGAAACAAAGAGAAATATTGTCCAATCAGCAAGCCCCGTCTGTGGTTATCAACCAGTCAGAACTGGTGATCTCATGTTCCCCGCGGAGAGCCAGACTGGGATGGAGAAGCAGAGAGAAACGCCAAAATTCTAGTTTAAAGAATTTCTATGATTTGCATCTCTTTTTACGGATTATGAACCACACGCAGAGATAGCTAATCATGTTCTGATAGCAGCTACTCTAATCATGTTCTGATAGCAGCACTGAAATATCGTCACTAAAGGATGACGTCTCGATTAAAAATTCTGAAATAATGGGCAGAAGAGGGCACTGAAGGGCCAGAAATCGCAAAGCGCTGGATTCAGGGAAAATTTGATGTATGGAGTTTAGGGTGGAATCTCCCTACGGAAATTAGGGTGATGGAGATGTTCCAAAATTAGATTGTGCTGATCATTGTAGAAGTAAATATACTAAAACTCATTAAATTGTACACTTAAAGTGGGCTAATCTTGTATAAACTATGTCAGCAACGCTGTTATACATAGATCTCCAGACAGGGTGGCAGGAAGTGAGTTTAGTAAGGTAGGCACCTGTGGTCCGTGGTTGTGAATGGCCTCATCTAAACTTTGCATTACGGGCTTGGGCTAGTCACTCATTACAGTGTCCAGGGAGGAAGAAATATCTTCTACTCCCTGAGGTTCTAGTTGATCTAAGGATCAAAGTTGACAGGAGCCAGATTAACAACAACAACAAAAAAACAGTTTAATTCCCTATTTACAGGAAAGCTAGAGACATGGGTTCCAAAGAGAGGGACAATGAGGTATAGATTATCCTGAACAAAGGGAGAAAGGGTTGGGATCTGAGATTTTAAAGGAAAGGGGAAAGTAATTCACAGAAATGTTTTGTCACATTCCTTCCTATCTTTCACATTATAGTTCACATTATAACATTATCTATGGTGATAGGTTTCCTCAATGGGCATTTCCTCTATCTGAATCCTTTTTGTGTATGTAAGTCCGGGGAGAGGAAATCCGGGGCAAAATACCTCTAAAACCAAAATCAGTGAAAGGGAGAAATAAAGTTTAAAATCCCTTTATTGCTCACAAACTGCAGTGTGGGGCCGATTCTCTCCTGCTCCCCCAGAAGCCAAAACCGGCCCTTCCCTCACCTCTCAGGTACAGATGGCCCAGGTAATTACCCATTGATATGGAGATGAACTTCTCTCCACCCCTCAGGAATGATGCAAATGCACTAAAGCATACTTCTTTCCACCTCTGAAAGCCTATTGATATGTAGATGTTATAAAGCGAGGCGAGATATTCTGGAAAGTTACAATTTTACCCACAGTGTAGTTGTGGGGTGGGGGTTGGGGGAGGTCAAAGTATCTTCCTCTTTGGACCTTAATGATTTTCTGCGCAAAATAATCTGCATGCCAAGTGGCATATCCCAGGACTACTTGCTCTGGACCCTTACAGTAGCCACAGAAGGTTTTTAAGCAAAGATGTCTTTATTCAATTTTGTGTTTCGGTAGTATATTACACTTTAGCTCAGCTGGAGGAGGGAAATGAATTCACTTGAAGTTGACTAGTGGAGAAACAGCTTATTCTCATCTATAGACATATTTACTAATAAATGTGTTTGTTATTGTAAGGTAGGGCTAGGACACGGGACAAGCATCATGATCAATTTTTCCTGTCTATGATGAAAAGTGCTAAGATATAAATAGTATAGTAAGAACAGTAGGGACTCCATCTTAAGGCTAAGATTCATTTAAAAAACCAGGTAGTTAGTATAAGAAAAATAGTAATTTATCCTCCATTTGCCCCATGGTCCCAAGCACATAAACCGGTGAGAATTATGCCTGGGGCTTGCCTGGGCTTACCCCCACCTTATCTCTAAACATCCCGACCCTCCCCCAAGGCAGCAGGCCGAGCGGATCCGTCACAGTAAAAGGCACAACGCTCTGCACCACGCAGCTGCCCTCTCTCTCTTTGTCTCTGTCTCCCTGTTCCCCTGCTCTCCCTGCTCTCTCTCCCTCTCTCTCTCCCCCCCACCCCCCTGGAGCAGCCACTTTATCTTTCAGATAATAAAATCTCTTGCATGGGCCTATGTCTCCTGAGTGGTCCTGGGTAAGGAGGGTCGCGGCGAGATACCCTTTCATTGGTGCCGTGACTTCGGATGAGGCTCTCCCATTGACTTTGCTCTTTCTCTGAGAACCCTCACTGCCCGATCCTCCTCCACGGGCTCACCGTCCATTTCCCCGGTCGCTCGTCTTCTTGCCCAACATTGGCGTTCGATTTGGTGAGTCTCCCCTTCATGGTCGACTTAAATGTCCCTTTGGAACCTGGGAAGTGACCGTTGAGTGTATGGCATCCCCAAGGGCTCCTCTGGGAGAGGGGCACTCGCAACCACAACTTTCAGAGTTATGGTTGATCCCCATAGTCGACCCTTCTCTGCCTCCCCATGGTGAGAATCCTTATCCACTAAGGCCTGGTCTCCCTTTTGAAAGGAAAGGAGCGACACATAGCAGCAATTCACCGGAGAGTTCCGCTTTATTAGGGAAAGGTGCTGGGTTATATAGGAAGGGGCATGAATTGATTGAGGTGTCACTTCTACGGGGCTGTTGGCTGTTGGCTAGGTTCTGGGATTGGAGGGGGCGAGAGGTGATTGGGCTTCAGGTGGCGCCGGCGGGAACTGAGGACCCCTAAGAGAAGCCGGAAGTTTGCCATCTTACTGGTGGGGACCCTTCACTGGGTAAGGAGGGTCCCGGCGAGATACCCTTTCAAGAACAAAGTTACTTTCTTTTATCAAAAGACACAATCTTTAGCATGTAGAAATGTTTTCCTTATTACTTTAAGTAGTTTTAATTGGAACTTAAAAACTATTAGGTACCATAATTTTCAGTGAACACTGAGAAGTAGGCTATTGTAAACTGTTACACTAGCATTCTTTAGATTGACAAATTATTAACACATTTTATAATTTCTGGAACCATGTGCTTTGCAGCCCAATCTTACTAAGCACAAAATGTGTCTAAACTTAGCAAAAGTTTAAGGTTTCAGGTTGCCACAAAGATTCTCAGGCTGTTTGTAGGTATACACACTTTAACACACAATTATTATTAAGATATTCACTTGCTACACTTAATTTATTCATAATGATACAGTGAGAGGACAGAGCTCCAGGCATGAGCCAGGAGGGTACAAGAGCTTATAGGCAGTTGAGGATATTTAGGAACATGAAAAAAGCTTAGGGGTGTGGACTTTAAGGCAAGTAGTAGGTGTTTAGAATTGCAGGGGAGACAGAGAGAGCTTGGTTCGGAGGTAGGAGAAAGCTTGAATATATGGGATCTCTTTACATTTGCTCACAGAAGTTGTATAAGTTGCAGAGAATTTTAGGATCTAAAGAGGCATTTGGAGGCCATTTAGACTGATTGTCTAAGGAATATTGTGGCCAGATCTCATTACAGTAGCGAACAGGTTTGAGGTCTGGAGTGAGGTGGAGGGGCTTTAGATTATTGAGTAAGCACCTTAGCGGTGAAATCTGCAGGAATGGGGGGGCCAGATCCCATGGTGAAAACGAGACTGTTCAGAATTCGCTGAGCCGTCCCTGAGCGATTGAGAAGAGAAGGTCACGGAGAAGACCAGGCACAGTTAGGGGGGTCGTCACCACCTCTAACTGCGGGGTCAAGGCGAAAACACTGAGGAGGCTCGGTACCTGGTACCAGGAGTTTACGAGAAGGGTAGATACGTAGATAAAGGTGAAGGGTCCCCACCAGTAAGATGGCAAACTTCTGGCTTCTCTTCGGGGTCCTCAGTTCCCGCCGGCGCCACCTGAAGCCCAATCACCTCTCGCCCCCTCCAATCCCAGAACCTAGCCAACAGCCAACAGCCCCGTAGAAGTGACACCTCAATCAATTCATGCCCCTTCCTATATAACCCAGCACCTTTCCCTAATAAAGCGGAACTCTCCGGTAAATTGCTGCTATGTGTCGCTCCTTTCCGTTCATTGGTGCCGAAACCCGGGAGACGGGACACCCCAACTGGGCCCCGTCTTCCCCCGATACCAGCAGCAGCTTGCCCTCGTCCTCTTTTTCCGGCGCTGGCTCATCACACTCACCACTCCTCTCTGGCCTTTAGGTAAGTTTTCCCCCCGGAGTGGGCCACTCTTCCCCGAGCTATCGCAGTGCCATTGACCGTGATCGTCC